TTTGATTTTTCGAATTTCTGCCGCCGACTGTGACCTTGCCGACTTCCGGCGCTCCCAACGCGCCATTTTTAGAGCTAGGGAAACGAAATACATACCAAACGATAGAGAATTGATCAAGGAACACGATAGTGAAGGTTTCAAGTCGATATCTCCCACCGTTTTGCCGCAATCGCCGCGGAAAGTTGAAAAAGTTTGATTTTTTCGGAAAATTTGACCTTTGACCGGTCATAAGTAGGTCAAATGTTAACCTAGGACCAAAAAATATACCACCAATCGCGAGATCTCGTTGAGAGCAATCCATTGGTTTTTTCCGCTAAGCTCTACGACCTTCCGTTTCGAAACGCCAGGGGGGGGGGTCGTAACACCCCCCCCCCCCCTGGTCGTTCGTGTTATGAGAAATGGCCTGGTCGTGCGAGGGTTATACTAGGCTGAACTACGTAAAATTATGAATCAATTTGTATAAATTTTAGCTCATGCTACAAGGAACCTGCGCTAAAATATGCAATAAACTAGAGCACTCTAAAACACGTCCGCCCATCTCAACAATCTCTTGGCAACAATATTCTCTTATGATGTTGCAAAAGCGTGTGATAGAATGACTATACTCTGTTCCGTTTCAAGCTTGCAGTCGAAGTGCCCTGCTGAATGCAGTGCGTGATTTCTGTATATACAGCTCTTACATTTTAAGACGAAAATTCTTGAGCGGAGGAGCGATCTGCCGAAGAAACTCCGACTGCAAACTTGATATGGAACAGACTATAAAAGTTAATTGGTAATTCATAGGCGGTGTCAGCGTACCGGAGTTGGAAGGTGACTTCCTTTTCTTTTTTCCTGGTGCCGCCTATGATTTATCTCTTGTTCACTTCTACATGTAGGATAATACGTGACAAGGCCGTGTAAGAGGGATACGTGGGTATTGAACCTGTAATACAGGGTGGACCAAAAAGGATGGACACATTTTGAACTCGCATAAAACATGCATTATTGCATGCATGTGACTGGAAATGGTACCAAACGAGAGTACATTTCATGGAAATTCATAACGGCATCACTTTCAACTGCTTTCTCTCGTTTTCAGTCTCTCACAGCAAATGTTCGAAAAGATCGCCTTCGCGAGACAGGCACAGAGCGGCCGGTCTGGTGGCTGACGCGATAGCCCGACGACACATGTTCGCTGGTATGGCGCACACAGTCTTGGTGATCGCTCTCTTCAGGTCACAGAGACCTTCCTTGTAGACCTGGCCCTTGAGATGAGATGATAAAGAAGTCACTGCACAGCAGCAAGGTCACCGAAATGGTGTGCCCTAAGCGGAAAAGGAATCGTGGGTCCACTTTGGTTCGAGGAAGGGAGCGGCGACACCGTGACCGTCAATCAACAGCGCATACCAGGCGGCGCTGAGGAAGTTCTGAGAGCGAGTCCAAACGAAGCATGGCAGCCTCATCATAGACCTTATGTGGTTCCAGCAAGACGGTGCGCCTCCTCATATCGCAAAAACAACGCTCAAGTGCATCGAAAACCACTTCGGTGACCGGCTGATATCCCGCGGTGCCAGTCGGAACTGGCCTACCTGCTCATCCGACCTGACCACTATGGATGTTTTACTGTGGGGTCATCTCAAGGACCAGGTCTACAAGGAAGGTCCAGAAAGCCTCTGAACTGAAGAGAGCGATCAGCAAGGCTGTGTGAGCCATACAAGCGGGCTATCGCGTCAGCCACCAGACCGGCCGCTCTGTGCCTGTCTCGCGAAGGCGGTCTCTTCGAACATTTACTGTGAGAGACTGAAAACGAGAGAAAGCATATGAGAGTGATGCCATTATGAATTTCCACGAAATGTACTCTTGTTTGGTATCATTCCCAGTTACAAGCATGCAATGATGCATGTTTTATACGAGTTTAACCCGCGCCCTGCTGGGGGGTGTTTGAACGCCCCCCCCTTGTGGTTTTTTGCGAATATCTCAAAAACGGCGGCGCGGAGCGCCGCCGTTTTTGGTACACCTTATCATACATCAATTCTACACATGTTGTGAAAATTTCAGACCTAGGTCATTTAAGGTCAGGTCACCAGGTCACTTGAAGTGACCTCACCTCATAAAAAGTTTCAATGTCTGTCATAGCTACACCGAATGACCGATCGCTTTGAAACTTTCAGCGATTGCTAAGAGCAATAGCATGTACAAAAAGTATATCTCAGAATTTTGATATCGATGACCTAAGGTCAGGTCAATTTTGCAACCTCCCCATTATAAGTCAATGGGAGAAAATTGAAATGCGCCTCTTTTGGACGAAAGACATTATAAACACTCCCAAACACCGAATTACAAGTGGATTAGACACACTGAACATGAAAATGGTGTCCGTGACCCTTGTGTATGCCCTGAGGTCATCTTAGGTCACGAATGGTATCTAACAGTTTTTCGCAAATAACTTTTGATAGGGGCATGCTAGAGCGATGAAAACGCCTTAGATGTGTTCAGCTCGACGATACGGATCGACTGATATGCAACATGACCCTTTCCGGTCAGGTCATGACCTTGACCTGAGGTCAAATTTTCAAGTTGACCTTTCAAGGTCAAATTATAGTTCATTTGATGCGTCTTGACGAGAGGAACACGATGCCGGTAAAAGTAAGCTCGTACAGGGCTTGGGTCAAAAGTTATTGCAGAAAAACTGTTTCCGAAAAAATCGGCTATTTTTGCAGTTTTTGCCCCCTGCAGGCAAAACCGTTGACGTTAGGTCAAATCTGAGAGTATTACTCAGAAAGGGCGTTAATAGGGCTATCGAATGCGCTTTTCCGCGGCGCTGTAGCTCTATTGGTTCCCGAGTTATGCGTTGGCTTCTTGGAAATTTTCGACATTCGACCTGGAAATCGGCGAAATTTTGCCTTCAATGACCTCTGGTGACCTGACCTTTGACCTGACCAAAAAATTGACCGAAGTGATTTCGTCATTATTTTTGACGCTCTTTCGAACGCCGCCTTCCGCGTATCGCTACGTGGCCCAGGAGCCGAGTTACAAGGGGGGTGTTCAAACACCCCCCCCCCCCCAGCAGGGCGTGGAAATCCAGGACCCCCAGCCGGGCGCGGGTTAAAATGTTTCCATCCTTTTTGGTCCACCCTGTACTTACGGTGACTATTATAGTCACTATTTATAGTCAGACTATAAATAGTAACACTGGCGGATCCAGGGGGGGGGGCATTTAGGGCCATGGCCCCCAAAGGCCTAAAGTGGCCTGTTTGCCCCCCCCCCCAAAACGTCAGAAAAATTGCTAAGAAAATATACCTTGATGGAGGTTTTTAGCCACTTGGTGAAGTAAAGCTTTCCACAGCATAATATGGAGGCAACATGGTAGCAGTGAGGGTCAGTCAAAATTTGCGCGAGCGGAGTCGCCACTTTCAAAAAAAGACTGTGGTTGGCACGTGTTTATGGCGCGGCAGCTGGTAGTTGCCGGTGTTTCGCGTGGTGTGGCATCACTGGCGGATCCAGCGGGGGGGGGGGGCACGGGAGCCTGAGGTGCCCCTGACAGAAGGCCCGTGGTGCCCTTGCTAGGCCTGTGGTGCCCCTGGACCCTGGCAGGCCTGTGGTGCCTCTGGCGGGCCTAGGGTGCCCCTGCTAGGCTGCTGATGCCCCTGGGACCTGAGAGGACTGTGGTGCCCCTGACAAGCCTTAAGTGTCCCCAACAGACCCGTGATGCCCCCGACAGGCCCAAGGTGCCCCTGCGTGATGCCGTGATGCCTGCGAGGCCGGTGGTGCCCCTGCGAGGCCGGTGGGGCCCCTGACAGGCCCATGGTGCCCCTGCGAGGCCGGTGGTGCCCCTGCTAGACCGGTGGTGCCCCTGGCAGGCCTGTGATGCCCCTGCTGGGCCGCTGGTGCCCCTGAGCCCTGACAGGACTATGGTGCCCCTGACAGGCCCAAGGTGCCCCTGCAAGGCCGGTGGTGCCCCTGTAAGGCCTATGGTACCCCTGCTAGGCCTCTGGTGCCCCTGACAGACCCATGGTGCCCCTGCGAGGCCGGTGGTGCCCCTGGCAGGTCTCTGGTGTCCCTGACAGACCTGTGGTGCCCCTGACAAGCCTGTGGGGCCCCTCACAGGCCCGTGGTACCCTTGCTAGGCCTGTGGTGTCCCTGGCGGGCTGGTGGTGCCCGGTGCCCCTGCTAGGTCGGTGGTGCCCCTGACAGGCCTGTGGTGCCCCCGGGCACCAAGGGGGGTCATGACCCATGTGGCCCCCCTTGGATCTGCCACTGATACGTTATGGCTTATGCAATATGCGATTGCAGGCACTTGGTATCCCTCACTTATCCCTCATTGGGGGCTCTGGCGGGCTCCTGAGGGCCCACGTCTATCTCTGGGAGCCCTAGACGGGCTCCTTTGGGTCCTTTCAGTCCACTATAGCATAAGAGGTCTCCACGCGAGTCCTATACATTTGAGGGCGTACCCTGACGTCTGAGGTACCCAACTACAGCTCCAATGGTCTCTTACACTGGCGGATCCAGGAAGGGGGTATTGAGGGTCATGCCCCCTTCCCAGAGGCCTAAAGTGGCCCGTTTGCCCCCTCCCCCAGGCCCCAAACGATAATGAAACATAGTTCAATCAGTGCGTGGCCCAGGAGCCGAGTTAGACAGGGGGTGTTTTACCACCTCCCGGCCCGCAAAGGGACCCAAGCACTGACTCGAAGCGGGTTAACTGGTCGACAAAAGCAATGGTAAGTGTTTACGAAGTAATATAAAGGCATGGGTCGGGTGGGCTACCATTTATATATTTTTCTCTTTTTAGTTATAAAAATAAAAATATTCATAGTATCAGGGCTGTGACGAAAAATAAGTGGCCTAAATCCGATGAGAAAACAGGATTTGGGGGTACCCTAGGTTTGGCTCCTGCATGAGTTGGCCCCCCCAAAACGCAAGCCTGGATCCGCCAGTAAATAGTAATACCTACAAATAGTGTTGATCTATCTACAGAATGAATACCCACAGTTATAATGCACCAGCATTGTGATTTTCACCCAAATGATCTACTTCACGAATAGGACCTCTCAATTCCCGATGCCCTGGAACCGCCCCTGAGAAAGGTACCAACTTGAAACTTTCAGTGGTGTTCAGTGTATTTCTTAAAAAGTAAAAAAAAAACAGCATCCTAGCTCCAGCCGTTGCGAAGATATTGCCGAAAAACCTGAGGGTCGGATGAAAACCCCCTGCCACCAATACAATAGGGTTAAAAATCATGTATGACATGCCTTCAAAGATGCAGGTACGGAGCAGCTCTCCGTTGCTGAGGAGGTATACCACAGCTCACCCCTCGGCCAGGGCGGTTTCATGATAGGACGCCGCCCCGGCTTGGCCACGCGGGTCACACCACAATGCGCAAGTCTTTTGTCGCAGTGAGTGTCACTGTTTATTTCATGTATTAAATTGTAAGGTAAAAGTAGGCGTAGAGGAGAAGGCGTTCAAAAAAAAGAGAGTAGGCGCGGACGGACGGACACTCTCGATCTCAAATCATGTGATAAAACATATGACACAAACTACATACTATGACATACGACACAAACTACATACTATGACATATGACACAAACTACATACGTATGACATAGGACACAAACTACACACATTACATGCAGCCACCTCAGTAAGTATTCGCACACACTTTCCCTCGCTCTCTCTTCTGGCACGGCCGGCTCCTGCAGTAGCGACAGAGCTTGTTGAAGGCCTTCAGCGCGTCCAGGTCGCGGTCAGTGGGCGTGACCACCACGCTGGGACTGAAGACGGTGCCGTTGGGTTGTCCGAGCCGGGGGTAGTTCTGGTTGACCGTGTGACGGACGCAGTCAGCCGACGTAGCGAAAAGACTGTAAGACAAAGTATTTGTTACATCAAAGCAGGGACTGTGAAAACCCTCTCGCATGTGTTGGGGGTCGGATGGACCCCAATGATGGTTTTTCGCGAATAACTCGCGCAAAAGCGGGCGATCGCAACGAAACTTTCAGGACCCTCGAGTTCATCAATTTTACACCTATTTTTAAAATTGCATGACTCTGACTCAAATGACCTTTGACCTGTGACCTATATCTCGAGGCCATTTCTGGCTGAAATCGGCCGGAATTTTTTAATGTTTAGCCGGAATTTTTGGCCGGAATTTTTGAACTCAATTTTTTAGCAATTCTAGACCACGTAGCGTAAAACAAAGACCACCATTGAACTCTTCGTGACGAGCTGTATCGAATCAATACCCATTTTATGCAAACATATTAACTTTGAAAATTGACCTTATTTGACCTGACCTTGACCTAACCTTGACCTGACCTTCACCAAAACATAATTCCAACTGACCCAAGGGCTGCCCGTCCCACATAATCGCATTTGGCATATAAAATGGACCATAAAACATGCATCACATGATATTTTTATATTGTTACCCTCAGTGACCTGACCTGGTATCAGTGACCTCAAATAGCAAATTACTAGGGTGACTTGCTTACTCTGCAACGCGAAGAAGGGTTATTTTTGACCCGTGGGTATTGGGTTGGTCTGTGTCGATTTGGTTGGCATTCAGTTCGTTCGATTGCTTTTTGACGGCCAAGCATTTTGTAATAAAAAAATGCATCGCATCGAGGTGCCCGTGTCGTATTATCTTGCGTTCTACTTAAGAATGATTCGAAAACTGGCGCGAAATCTTTTGAGGACAATCGATGAATTTCGCTAAAAATGACAATGTAATGGTTTGGAGCATTTACATTTTAAATTGTTAGAGAAAATTGCATTTAAGATCTTCCATCTATGCTTTTTTCATTGTTTGCACAATATGTTTTTTTACTAAGCTAGAAACACTAATTAGAAATAGTTCCCGCATCATCGTCAAGAACAATAGGGAAGGCTTGAAGTGAATACAATAATCTAAACGGTTTTGTAATCTATGTGAAGACACTTCTAAAATTGCATGTAGAAATATTGAAGGCAAAAGTTCAACTTTTTCAGAAGACTTAAGTCTATAAACCTATTCAACGTGTGACAACTCAGCCGGTATTTCGTCGCCTACAGCCCAGCTATCCCTAGTGACCGATAGAGGCGCTGCTATCGATGTCCGCCCGTGCCGCATAACGCGTTTTTTTTCGCTATAACTTGGCCAAGGAAGGGGGTATCGATCTAAAATTTCATATGTATATCGAAGAGCGCAAAGACTATCACATGTATTTCGTTTTTTTTTTAATTCGAATGATTTGTGGGATTTTTTATAGTTTTTTTTTTGTTCTAAAAAAACATTTTTAAAAGAATTTTGAGATAAAAATCCAAGAATTTTGAAAACCCGAGATAGCAGTTTTGTAGCTCGGTCTTTTTCTACACGACCAGATAAAACAACTTTAGAATTGCACCCGCGCATGATGGGCTGAAGGGGGGGGGGGGCTCGGTATCAAAAGAAGAGTTCAAAAGCTATTGATTGCTTTTCCATGCGTTTTTGTGGCTATCATATAGTTCCTGAGATAAGGGCATGTTTTCTGAAAAATATAATGACGTGCAAATTCAGACATTTGATGACCTCTGGTGACCCCAATATTGCTCTAAGATGAAAAATGACAAAAAAATACTTTCCAACGTACGCATCGAGAGTTATCGACTGCTTTTTACCGCGTCTTTCTAGCCTTCTTAGTTTTTGAGTTAGATGTGGGTGGTAACATATGCCCCCTCTCCACTAGGGCGAGTTGGCCGAGACCGCCACTGGGGCGCAGGTTAACCCTCGCCCCAGTGCACTGGGGCGAGGGTTAATGAGAGGATCACTATGGTGCCATTAGTTTGCTCCTAGTAGCTTGGCTACTTCATAAGTTATTCGATTTTTTTCATTTCTAGCGCCACCATTTTGACTTTTTGGTCCACTGTGATGTCATCATTGACCTGACTTGAAAACGACGATAGAAAATTGTAGACCTTGTCCGTGCGTACCCCATGCGTTTACCACTTGTCGCTATTTTGCTTCGTTCTCTAGATCTAAGAGGGCGCGGTCAACAGTCGACCCCCCCCCCCGTCGGTTATAATTTGGCGCGGAACCCCGTCGGTGCGGCGGGATATGCAATATGGGGCATGACCAGATACAGGATAAGCGTTGACATAGTAGAGAGAAGCAGCGTGCTATACAGCTTTCTGAATGTGACGAAAGTCCGGTAGCAGCGCTGTACTACTCGGGCAGTTTTTTCCATGGCTAAGTTCTGATCTCCGATGATTTTGATGTGATCTGTTTGTTCCAAAGTGATTCCGTCAAAGGTAATCCGAAAGCTGACGGTTTGACTGACAGAAGAATTTGTACCGACCAGAGTCATGTCGATTTTTGGCGGGTTTAACTTGCAACCCGTTGTATCGAAACCACGCAGATTGTGTGGCCAGATCGCTCTCTATGTTACATCTCAGCTCGGGGACCCGTCTGTGGTTGGCAGGTGCTGTGTAGCAGTACGGAGTCGTCTGCATGGGATACAATTTTACAGAGCTGTCCGATAGGTGACATGACAGATCGTTGGTGAATATGTTGAACAATATTGGCCTCAAGTTGCTGCCGTGGATTACTCCAAATACAACGGTTTCGAGGCTGCTTCTTCCTTGTACAGACTACTTTCTGTCCCGAGAATACTCACTAAACCAGTGCACTGGTTGCAGTGGTCTGATATGCCGTTCCAGCTAAGCTTGTGAAATAACAATGTTGCTGTCCACGGCGTCGAATGCCTTGGATAGATCGCACGAACTGATACAAGTCACAAGACCAAGATCGCGGTTGGCGGCTATGGCACTGACCACATGTCTACCGCAGCCTCCTCGATGGAATTCATGGGACGGTACGCATACGGTGTGGGCCCGTCAACGTCTGCGTTTTTGCTATATAATTCACGACCTGGGCACTGCTGACTTTCTCAGCCCGCTAGTTTTTCTCAGACACTGAGTACGCTGATGGGCCTAAAGTAAGATGGCAGAGCTCTATCCCCGGTCTTATGGATCGGCACTACAACACCACGCTTCCAGATAGCTTAGACCTGTCCTGCTCTTGACACAATGGACATATTTAACCCTCGCCCGCACATGGGGGGGGGGTGGTTGCCACCCCCCCCCCCCAGGCAGTCTTTCTGCTCTGCACTCAACATTTTTAGAGCAAGAAGGCTGATTTTTCGTATAGCTGCTTGTCTATCCTTTCTTGATGTCCACTGAAAATTTCAAGTTTCTGTGATTTTTGGTTTCGGAGATATGACCTTGTTTTTCAGGTCATGTCATGACCCAAATGGCCAATTCTCAACATCTTGCGTTTGTCATGGGCCTTGTGAGCTTTTGACACCCTGATTTCGGCCTTTTTTGCCAGTCTTACCTCCCACCTATCATGGAACATGTTGTTCGACGATGTACAGGGGTCAAGGTCAGGGTCAAGGTCAACCTAGGTCATCTAAGATAATTGCGTTTTAGGCAAGCTGAATTTACTTTTTGTGAAGTTTTTTGACTGTATTTTTGGTAAAAGCTTCTCAGATCATGATTTCATGTAATATGGACCCAAAAACAATCGGTGCACACATCAGTATACACACAGACACACACAGACATACAAACACATATAATTGACCTTGACCTAACTTGACCTGAAATGACCTCAGCAGCAAAATTCTGGTCGGATAGTGTGACAAAGAGGTTCTAGCTGGCTTGGCACCAGAAAACAGCATCGTCATCGGTATTTGATAAGCAGCGCACTTGATATCCAACGGTGACCCAAAACAGCAACATTTTTTAGTTTGACCTGACCTGGAAGGTCAATGACTGACCTGAGAAAGTAAAACTGGGTATCATTGGATTTGTCTCTTCCCAAAGAATCTTTTTGGTCCTTACTGCTAAGCTCTATCTCCAACAGGAACGAAATGGCGCGGGGGGGGTGGCAACCACCCCCCCCCCCCCATGTGCGTTCTAGGATGGGAAAATGGCATGTGCGGGCGAGGGTTAACACATGGATGATGTGGGGTCCGACAACAGCAAAACACCGTCTCACAAGCTGCAGAGATCAGGGCTGCCAGACTTGGCGATATGTCGCCAATTTGGCGAATTTTGGAAGTCATTGGCGATAGAAGCACGGCGTTTGGCGATAGGCGATAAAACGTCAAATATTGGTGAATTTCCGAGTTCGCCTCCAAAGCACCGAATATTATTTAAAAAAATAAACAAAACAAAGCGAAAAACATCGTTACGAAATATTTCGTAATCTGATTAATTTAACCTTCCAACGTTTCATATTAGGCACTAAAATATAAAATATTCCTGATGAAAATATCTTCTGAACCACATCTCGCACGACCTTTGCTCAGGGGTGGAGATCTGTCAAAATGTCAGGGGGGGGGGGTCCATGCCGGGCAGATGGAGGCGGGCTGAATGCAGTACCATTGACTTACATAGCAGTAATTCGTTTTCAGGGGGGTCCTGACCCCCCCCCCCCCCCCGAGATCCCCACCTCTGCCTTTGCTATTTTATTTGGCGCTGGTTAAGGTACGCTGTTATGTAGATGAATATGAGAAACGAGATAGGTTACACGAACGCCAACTTGCGCTGCTACGTATGCTTATACAGCGCATCCTATTTGGCGAATTTTGGCGAAATTCGAGGGGCGAATTTGGCGATAAGGACCATTCTGGATCTGGCAACCCTGGCAGAGATAGCCCGTCTCTCCCAACCGCAGTCGAGTTGGACATTCGGCGGAAAGCTTATCCCTAGCTCAGGCACTAGGCAGTATCGCCGGCAGGACGCGGAAGGCCGCGCTAGTCACAATCGGTGGTCGGGGCGGCAGGGCTGGGCTGCCGGTTTCTTTACACATTAAAAAAAAAAAACGGCAGGTGTCGCCAAAAAAGACCCTTCCTGCCACCCGAGCGAAGGTGAGTATGAAATGAAAGCTCATCAAAATTATTTAATGATTCCACGCATTCTTACTTGTTAAATCCTGTAATGTTAATTGCCATCCTTTCTGTTATCATTCCGGTGATGAATAGATCGTCTATCCAGAAAAACGGCAGCTCGGTGGACCTTCTAACCATCGCACTTGCCATGTCCTGACTGGCGATATACAGCCACCCTGAAAAAAAAAATGGGTACAGTATCACTTTTCATTCCAAACACTATCACACATCGAATAGGTACAGGTTAACCCGCGCCGGGCCGGGGTTGTTTGAACACCCCCCCCCCTGCGGTTTTTCGCAGATATCTCAAAAACGGCAGCGCGGAGTGCCGCCGTTTTTCGGCACACCTGTTCGTGCATCTTTTCCGCACACGTTGTGAAAATTTAAGACTCAGGTCGCCTTAGGTCAGGTCACCAGATCACGCCAAGTGACCTCACCTCAGAAAAAAAAATAGGAATGCTCGTCATAGCTACACCGATTGATCGATTGCCTTGAAACTTTCAGCGATTGATTAAAGCAACATTATCTATAAAACGTATATCTCGGAATTTCGATCTCGCTGACATAAAGTCAGGTCAATTTTGCGGCCTCTCCAGCCAATGGGAGAACATTGAAAAGTGTCTGTTTTGCACGAACGCTATTCTAGACACTCAAACATCGAGATGTAGGTAAAATTGACACACTGAACCGCAAAATTGCAACTGTGACCCCTCGTTATGTCCCCGAGGTCATCTCAGGTCACGAACAGAATTTAACAGTTTTTCGCTAATAACTTCTGATAGAGGCGTGCTAGAGCGCTGAAAACGTCTTAGATGTGTTCGGCTCGACGTTGCGGATCGCCTGATATGCAACATGACCTATCCGGTCAGGTCATGACCTTGACCTGAGGTCAAATTTTAAAGTTGACCTTTCAAGGTCAAATTATAGCTCAATCGACGCGTCTCGACAAGAGGAAGACGATGCTGGCAAAAGTAATGTGATGGATCTTTTGAGTCAAAAGTTATTGCCGAAAAAAAACGCTTTTCGTAAAAATGGCTATTTTTTTGAGTTTTTGCCATCTGGAGGCTAAACCGTTGACCTGAAGTCAAATCTCAGAACATTACTCAGAAAGACTTGTAAAAGGGCTATCGAATGCGCTTTTCGGCGGCGCTGTAGCTCTATCAGTTCCCGAGATAGCCATCGGCAGTTTCCAAAATGTTGAAATAGTCAACATTTTTCCTTGGTGACCTCTGGTGACCTGACCTTTGACCTGACCCAAAAAATGACCCAAGTGTTTTCGTCCTTATTTTGGACGTTCTTTCGATTGCCGCTTACCGCGTGTCGCTACGTAGCCCAGGAGCCGAGTTAGAAGGAGCCGGCCCGGCGCGGAATCTCAGAGCACCGGCCCGGCGCGGGTTAACTTGACAAGCTGAACATACAATTTGCACCCGTGACGCCTCATATCCCTGAGGCCTTCTCAGGTCATGAAAAGTTCCCAGCAGTTTGTTTTCGGCAACCATTGTGATAGGGACATGCTAAAACGAGGAAAATGTATTCGATGTGTGATCAGGTCGACGATACGGATAGGATGATCTGCTTCATGTCATGGCCCTTCGCGTTATGTCATAATGCTTTCTGAGTATGAATGCTCCAGATGACCTTTTAAGGTCAATTTATAAATAATTCGACGCGTCTCGACGAGAGGAAGACGATGCTGGTGAAATAAATTTCTTGCTTTTCTTGAGTCAAAAGCTATCAAATAATTTGTTTTGCTAAAACGGCTATTTTTAGTCTTTGCCCTCTGCAGGCTCAACCGTTGACCTGAGGCCAAAGCTATTTTCCGGAAAGACAATTTAAAATAGCCATTGAATATGCCTTTCCAGTCTTTCCGAGACGATGTAGTTTACATTTATTGCCGAGTTCTGCGCCGATTTTTTTTTCTCGAAAGAAATGTTGAAATTGGCAACATTTCATGACCCCTGGTGGCCTGACCTTTGACTGGACCAAATAACTTCAACGTTTTTGCCATTATTTTTGACGCTATTTTGAATGCTGCTTATCGTCTGTCGCTACATTGCCCAGGATCCGAGTTAGACGGGGATGGTCCAGCCCCCCCCCCCCCTCCTTCCCAGCTCGGCGTGGTTAGCGCCGAGCAACGGCCCGGCGCTGAGTAAATATTGAAACTCCACTCAGCACAGTCCCTGCTTTTAGGGAGTGTGCTGAGTGGAAAAAGAGCATAGAACGATTCAACATACAATATTTGTTTGAAAATATTCCTCTTTTAGTGACTAAATTCCGAACGCCAGGGCCAATGAAATTTAAGGTTGGTTGTAACCAGACATGTGCATAGATGCGAGAAAATTGATCTGGGATCTGATCCCACGGATCCTGATCTCGGATCCGAAGGGATCATAGATCCAGCTCTGTAATTTATCGAGAGATCCGTAGGGATCACAGATCCGAGTCTCATTTTTTGCTGGAGATCCAGTGAGATCATAGATCTTCACTTATTTTTTGTCAACACATATATCCCAAAAAAAAAACACTTGTTTTAACTCACAAACGTTCTGTTTTAGTAATTTTAGTGATCGCACATCATAATCCGTAGTTTTGTGTCACTTATTGGCAAAGAAACCCTTTAAAACATGGTTTCAAATGTGATGCATGGTGGGATCCACTCAGATCATAGATCCATGTTCTTAATTTATCGTCAGATCATATGAGATCATAGATCCAAGATGTATTTTTCCCGCCGGATCCGGTGGGATCATAGATCCCAACCTGTACTCTGCTTCGAGATCCACTGAGATCATAGATCCATCACTCGGATCCATGCACATGTCTGGTTGTAACAACGTTTCCTTTCCAAATTTTGCTCTTCGTTGGGAAGAAAGTTTGCGATGTCAAAGCTTCTTAGCATACTTTGTTGTGTTAAATAGGTTTGCATTTTTTCAACTTTAAATTTATGCTCGTAGATTTTGTGAATTCGAATTTTAATTAGCTGTAATCACTTATCAGGCATTGCTTGTAACCGACGTTTTGTGTTTTTTTGGTGTGTGTTTTTTTTTGTGAAACAGGCCGCAGGCCATTTTTGATTCTCATAGGCTTTTTCAAGACAGGACTTTCGCGGTGGAACCTATTTGATACCTGGAAAGTATCAATCCTTTAACCCTCGCCGGCACAGCCGGCACAGGTGATGCCCTCAGGGGGGTGATGCAACGCCCTAAGGTTTTTCGCAAATAACTCGCGTAAAAACGTGCGATCGCGACGAAACTGTCAGTACCCTCGCATTGATCAATTTTACACCTACCCTGAAAATTTTATGACCCTGACCCAAATGGCCTTTGACCTGTGACCTCTTTTCTGAGGCCATGTTTGACCGGAATCGCGATTCGGCGTATGTCGGCTCGCATTAGCCGCGCGGTTGCAAGCTTTTCGTGGTTTCAAACGTTCAAACATGTGATTTGATGTTGCTCCCATGCATTAGGGTGGGCTTTAAGGTCACCTGAAGGTCAGGTCAGGCCAGTGACCTTTGGTGACCTCGGTTCACTTTTTCGAATTTATATGTTTCTAGGCTAGGTTTTGGAGCTGAATTCGAATTTAGCAACCATTTGGACATTTACGAAGTAGTTTCGGTACCTTCGTAACATGTTACGAAGCTGTCAGAGGCGGTTGACACGTGTTACGAATACCCGTCACGACCACTACCGGTTGACCTGACCTGACCTGACTCGACCTGGTCTAAATGCTTAACCCGCGCCGGGCCGGTGCTCTGAGATTCCGCGCCGGGCCGGGGGGTGTCTGAACACCTCCCCTTCTAACTCGGCTCCTGGGCCACGTAGCGACACGCGGTAAGCGGAAATCGAAAGAACTTCCAAAATAAGGACGAAAACACTTTATCATTTTTTGGTTCAGGTCAAAGGTCAGGTCACCAGAGGTCACCAAAGGTAAAATGTTGACTTTTTCAACATTTTGGAAACTGTCAACGGCTATCTCGGGAACCGATAGAGCTACAGCGCCGCAGAAAAGCGCATTCGATAGCCCTTTTACAGACCTTTTTGATTAATGTTCTCAGACTTGACCTCAGGTCAACGGTTTAGCCTCCAGAGGGCAAAAACTTCAAAAATAGCCGTTTTACGAAAAGTGTTTTTTTTTTCGGCAATAACATTTGACTCAAAAGAGGCGAGCCATGTCATTACTTTTGCCAGCATCGTGTTCCTCTTGTCGAGACGCGTCGAATGAATTATAATTTGACCTTGAAAGGTCAACTTGAAAATGTGACCTCAGGTCAAGGTCATGACCCGACCGGAAAAGGTCATGTTGCATATGAGGCGATCCGCAACGTTGAGCCGAACACATCTAGGCGTATTCAGCGCTCTAGCACGTCTCTATCAGAAGTTATTAGCGAAAAACTGTTAGATTCTGTTCGTGACCTGAGATGACCTCGGGGACATAACGAGGGGTCACAGTTGCCATTTTCTGGTTCAGTGTGTCAATTTTACCTACATCTCGATGTTTGTGAGTGTCTAGAATAGCGTTCGTGCAAAACAGACGCTTTTCAATTTTCGATAGGCGTTATCACTAGTGTATTCGCGGCCCTTGGGGCGACGTAAGAAAAGAGGAAGACAACTGGCCCCAAGAACTTTAAATTATCAGTTAGCATGCATCTTTTCCTTGATATGTAGATAATTTACCATTAATTGTTAGAGAAAATTGCATATAAAATCTTCCATTTATGCTTTTTTCATCGTTTGCATAATATGTTCTTTTACTAAGCTAGAAACACTAATTAGAAATAGTTCCCGCATCTCGTCAAGAACAATAGGAAAGGCTTGAAGTGAATAGAATAATCTAAATGGTTTTGTAATCTATGTGAAGACACTTCTAAAATTGCCTGTAGAAATATTGAAGGCAAAAGTTCAACTTTTTCACAAGACGGATGTCTATAAACCTATTCAACGTGTGACAACTCAGCCGGTATTTCGTCGCCTACAGCCAAGCTTTCCCTAGTGACCGATAGAGGCGCTGCTATCGATGTCCGCCCGTGCCGCCTAACGTCTCCCATTGACTTACCTTCGCCCCAGTGGGGGGGGGGGGGCATATGTTACCACTCTGTCGCGTTTTTTTGCGTGTAAATAAAAAACCGCGGCGCGTAGCGCCACGCCGCTTGGGGTAGCTTTTTGTACATCAATTTTGGACAATGTGTGAAATTTTTGAGCCCAGGTCATGTCAGGTCAGGTCACCAGGTCAAGTTAACTGACCAAGCCTAAAAAAAAGTTTGCAATCCTCTCCAGCCTGCAGTGTTTGTCAGAAAGGTTTGAAACTTTGTGGATTGCATGATGGTATGGGCGCCTATAATTTGTATATCTCGGATTTTTTATATCCGTGGCCTAAGGTCAGGCCAGTGGCGTGACCTTACCATTATAAGTCAATGGAGAAACATGAAAATGCCTCTAAATCCATGTGTACGCATAGGAACAGTCCAAATAATTCAGAATCACAATGATTTGGACCACCCGTGACGGCCATGGTGTCTTTTTTGCTGATAGCCTCTAGAAATGTCATCCGAGGTCATTAGAGGTTACAAACAGATTTTTTGCAAATAACTCTCGATTGGAAAAAGATAGGACGCTGGGGATGGTCTCATTGTGTTTGTCTTGCCGAGACGCGTCGACTGATATGCAACATGACCTTTTCCGGTCAGGTCATGACCTTGACCTGAGGTCAAATTTTCAAGTTGACCTTTCAAGGTCAAATTATAGTTCATTCGATGCGTCTCGGCGAGAGGAACACGATTCTGGCAATGGAAATGTCGTAACCCTTTTCAGTCAAAAGTTGTCGAAAAACACTTTTCGAAAAAAAAACAGCTGTTTTTGGAGTTTTTGCCCTCTGGAGGCTAAACTGTTGACCTGAAGTCAATTTTGATGATAACCTTATCGAAAGAAGAGTTTAAGAGCTATCGATTGCGTTTCAATGCGTTTTTCTAGCTATCATAGTTCTTGAGATAAATGCATGTTTTCTGAAAAATATGATATTTGGCAAATTATGACCTTTGATGACCTCCAGTGACCCCAATTTCGCTCTAAGATGAACAATGACAGAAATACTTTCAAACGGACGCATGGAGAGCTATCGACTGCTTTTTACCGCGTCTTTCTAGCCCTTAGTTTTTGAGTTAGAGGTGGTTGGTAACATATGCCCCCCCCCCCCACTAGGGCGAAGTTGGCTGAGACCGCCACTGGGGCGCGGGAATGGAGAGGCCGCAAAATTGACCTGAACTTAGGTCAACGATATCAAAATTCCGAGATATAAATTTTATAGATAATGTTGCTCTGATAAATCGCTGAAAATGTCAAGGCAATCGATCAGTCGGTGTAGCTATGACGAGCATTCTGATTTTTTCTGAGGTGAGGTCACTTGGCGTGACCTGGTGACCTGACCTAAGGCGACCTGGGTGTGAAATTTTCATAACATGTGCGAAAAAGTGCACGAACAGGTGTGCTTGACATCCTGGGTGATACTAGTAAAGTAGCTAGCCAACAAAATTCGAAGAACGCCGCTTGATTCGCATCCATCGTCATTTGTATTCATTCCAAATTAATCATATAATTTGAAGACTGATAAATGTTAACGTAAGGAGACTTCTAAGCATATTAGCAGTTATACTACTCCCCACAGCGACCAATAATTACCTACCTGATACATACGGTGGGTAATACTCCTTTGGCCACTCTTCCAAGCTGACATGCCATTTAGAATCACCACGGTAAGGCTTGGCCTTTCGGAAGGCATTACCACCCAGGTATCCCGTATCAGGGCTCTTCTCCAGCAAGTGCAGTACCTCGTACACATTGTAAGCGATGTCATCGTCCATCTTGATTATATGTCTGTAACAGAAAATAGATTGACCTTTTTATGATTAACCCTCACCTGCACATGGGGGGGGGGGGTACCACGCCCCCAGGTAGTTTTCTGTTCTGCACTGAACGATTTTAGGGCTAGAAGCCTGATTTTTCGAAAAGCTGCTCCTCTATCAATTCTCAGGGTCCACTGGCAATTTTAATACGCGCACCGACGGGGGTCTGCGCCAACTTCGTACCGACGGAGGGGGGGAGGCACGGATGACCGACCCCCTCCCCCCTGAGATCTCGAGAACGAAGCAAGATAGCGACAAGAGGTAAACGGCATCGGATACGCACGGACACGGTTTACAATTTTTACAAGATCATTTTCAGGTCAGGTCAAAGATGACGTCACAGGGGCCGAAAAAGTCAAAATGGCGGCGCTAGGTATGGAGTTTTTTTTCTCGAATAACTTTCGAATTAGTCAAGATAGGAACAAACTAAGGGCATCATCGTGATCCTCTCGTCAATCCGCATCGAATGATATATATGTTGACCTCGAAAGGTCAAGGTCAAAGGTTGACCTTCAGGTCACGTGACCTCGAGGTCATCATGTATATCATTCGATGCGTCTTGACGATCTGAACACAATGAAACCATCCGCGCGGCTGTATCTTGTTCCTGTACGGAGTTATTGGCAAAAAAACCTTTGGTGACCTTTGATGACGTCACATGACCTTACAGCTGCCCAACAGCAAAACAGACCTCAAGGTACTGAAGGTTGATCGTATATGAGGTCATGTATGGTATATGGGGCCATTCCGACCCGTTTTAGCGGTAAAAACAGGGAGTTGATTTTTCCCCCATTGACTTATAATGGGGAGGTATCGAAATTGACCTGACCTTAGGTCACCGATATCAAAATTCCGAGATAAACAAATTGTACAAATTGCTACTAATGACCTAATAACATCCTGCGACTTTCAAAGGCCTCCGACATCTACTGTAGCTCTGGCACGGTGACAAAGTTGCAAAAAAGTGACTTGAGGTTGGGTCATTCAAAGTGACCTGGTGACCTGACCTTAAAAGTTAGGAGGTTCAAACTTGCACACCATGTGTAAAATTGATAAGTCTTCGTGTTGAGTGCTTTATCATTTTATTAATCGCTGGCATAAAACAATCCCCGAAAGGTTTGTGATTTTCGAGTTTTAATTTTGATTCTTCAATTTCATTTTATTCAAACTTTTGTTTCCTTCCGTTTCGTCTGCCGTAACGCCCCTGTGACGTCACTCCTGCTCCGCCCACCGTCCCGGGCGTGGCCGTGCGTCAGCGCCTTCTGTCCGCGGTGGGGACGTCTGGAACTACGAGTACGTCTGTGACGGAGGCTGTTGCTAAGGTCAGCACGTCCGTTGCGGTGTGACTTAACTGTGGTGCAGCTGTGGCTACGTGAGACCCAATGTGCTACGTGCCTTAACCCGGCACCGCCTGGGCTATTTCCGTACCCACGACAGCCTGGGGGGTCGGATCTGACCCCCCCCCCCTGTTATCTCGAGAACCAATGGTCGTATCGAGCCCCGCGAGGCGGCGTTCGAAAGGTCTCTACGAGACCTTCCCAAAGCACTCTTAAGATTTTAAGATTGAGGTCAACTTTCGGGTCAAGGTCAGGTCAAAGGTCAAATTCAGGGGTTTTGCATGACTAGGCTTACGGACAGCGGAATCGATAGCTGCTGCTCGAAACTCACCAAAAATGACCTCAAAGGCCTAGTGAAGGTACCATGTGCGTATAGGGGTCATACTAAGTACGGGTCAAGGTCAGGTCAGGTCACGAAAGGTCACGGTTTTCAATTTCTGCTACATGGGCGTGCGACACATGTTTTATGGCTTATTTTTCACGCCGAATCCGATGGTAATGGTTATATGTGACCCCAAGTCACTGTGCTGGTGATAAGTGTGCATTGAAAGCATAAAAATTCGTTAATACCATACATAACTAAACGAGGGCTAAGAAAAAAGTCAATTTTTCAACTTTTTATTTTTGACATAAAAATGCACTTTTCTAGACGCGCTTTGTCCCAGGAATCTAGTGGTGCCATTTGTTTTCACATGCGATGTTCAGAAGTGCCTCTAATTCACGAAAATGCTTATGACGTCACCATGCCCTATGCATGTTGGAGCTATTTTTTACAATTTGGGGGTCAAAAATCAAGATAGAAAGTTGAAATTTGGGGCATCTAATGTTCTAATAGATCTCTACAACATATATTCCTGTTTTTTGAAATTCTCAAAATTTTGGATTTAATTAGCTGTTTTCCAAAAAATATAGTTTTTTTGAATTTTTAGGGGTAAAAAAACGCATTTTATGGAAAATCCGAGATAGCCATTTTAAAGAACTCGTTGAGCTGCGTCTTTTCATGTCCTTAATTTGCAATTTGCTTCAAACCCTGATTTTTGGCGATTTTTTTAAACATTTGCCACCTTTTGACTAAAAATGCCATGTAGTTCCATCACTAAAATCGATATATCTCAAAAAATTTTGAAAAGTTTTTCTTGAAAATTGCACAGAGGACGTCAAATTGATGGGGGAGAAGGTATGCCAAGTTTCAAGTAGATAGCGAAAGTGGTTCATGAGAGATTCAAGAAAAACGGAGGGGGGGTCGGATCCGACCCCCCCCCCCCAGGCGGTCGCGGGTTAAGCCTGCGCGCTGCCTCACATTGTGCCCACGTCTGCTGTAGCTTCAGCTGTTTTGTAATGGCTGCCAATGACTCATCCTGATGTGACTGTCTTCAGAGGTGCTTGTCTTAATTGGAGTGGCCCATTCTGTGCGGACAGTGATAGATTAGGGAAACGGGGGGAGGGGTTGGGTGTGGGAAAGCGAGGCTACGCTTTGGCCGGACTGCGGGGGGGGGGGAGGGGGACTGTCTGACCGAGCCGTGCCGAAAAGATACTACGTTAAAAGCTCAAGATGTAGCGTGCTACATAAGCGAAAAACGTTTGAACTGTTTTTAGCGATTTTTTTTTATATTTATACCCCCCCCCAACCCCCCTAAATATTGACATAGAGCAACAATATTTGCACAGGGTCGGGAACTCGCTGGACCCACATACGTACCAAATTTGGTGTTTCTAAGTGCCATAGGAGCCAATCGCGAGGGGGGTTGCATCAACACCCCTGCCAGGCCGTGTTATGAAAAATGCCCTGCCAGGGCGACGATTATACTTTAGGTTGGCGATGGTCTGACATCATAAAACAAGCCTGTTTCAAATTTTCCCCGATTTTTTTCTGTATGTACCGTATTTTACTCGAGAGGGCAAAAATGTTTTATCACCGCTCATTGCCAAAGTAGATTGAGGAAAATTTTGGAAATCACGTGGGTTGTATAAAAGAATGGCTACACAGTCAAATCTGTAAAAATACGCAGCACTTCTTTAACCCTCGCCGGACCTATTGGTTTTCTACATACGCGCCGGCCGGGGGGGGGGGGGCGGGTACGACCCCCCTCGCCGTTTCGCCCCTGGTGGAGCTAGCGCGTCGCGGAAAAAACGAGCGTGTGCGCCGTTACGAGACGCAGAGATTGGTACCCGATTTTAAGGTCCTAGGTCAACCGGTGACCTCTGAGGTCAGGTCAAGTGCTCCAGGGTACGGTTCAGTTTTTGGTGAATAACTTCGCAAAAAACGGCCGCAGAGCCGCGATGTTGGCAGCATCGTGTTCGCCTCGCTCAGGCGCGTCGAATGATATACTTTTTGTTCGGGTCAGGTCAACTTAGGGTGTTGACCTCAGGTCAAGGTCAGGTCAGCACCCCCAGGTCACGAAGTTGGTCGAAAGAGGTCATGTCGCATATCATTCGATTCGGCAGGTCTTCCTGAGTCCATTGGTGGCTTTCTCGACTCGCTAGCTCAATTTGATCGGGAGTTATTGACGAAAAACTAATATGACCTTGATGACGTCATAAATGACGTTACGGAAGGTAAACATTGCAAAAATGACGCATCTAACCTTGCAAGGAGTGCATCAAATCACGATTCTGTGTGCTTGAGATAGTTGGAGATCGTTCCCGGCGCCAGAATAGCAGTTTTCATTTTTCCCCATTGACATAATGGTGAGGTCACGAAAATGACCTGACCTCATATGACCTTTAGGAAAAATCCGAGATATACAAGTTGTGAGAGTTATAATGGATACTAGATCCTGCAAGTTTCATTTCCCTGTGACATCTCCTCTAACAGTGAGAACGTTGCGAAGTTGCGACATCTGAAGACCGTGCAGAGGTTCACTTATGACGTCATAGGTCAGTGACCTGACCTGACCCAAAAATGCGGTTGGTGTCAAAAGATGCGGCTTGGATCAAAGGTCAGGTATGCCAAGTTTCAGCTCTCTATCGCCAGCGTGTTCGGAGCTATCGCGAAAAAACCCTATGGGGGGGCGGCACCCGCCCCCCCCCCTCGGCCGGCGAGGGTTAACCCGCGCCCCGTAGGGGGGGGCGAAACGGCCCCCTGTCCTTTTCGGTCGATATCTCCTAAACGGCTGGAGATATCGCCACCAAACTTTCAGGACCCCTCCGGGCATCAATTTTACACATTGTAACCAAAAATTGTTCCAGAGGCTGTGATAGGTTGGCCAGAAATGACGTCAGAGTGACGTCATGTTCTGTCATTTTCGACCGAAAAAAGACCTTCGCGAGAAGACCTGTCAGGCCTACAGCTTTGAAGATACAGAAAAATGATCAAGACATAAAAGGTGTAGAATTGACAGGGCTACAAAACTGCTATCTCGGATTTTTGAAATTTTTGAGTTTTGATCCCCAAAAATCAAAAAAGCATTTTTTTTATATATTAGCCAAAAAACCCAAACAGTTTTTTGAGTTTCGAAAAAACCGGAATATATGTGATAGTACCTACCGTCTTCTATCTACATACCAAATTTCAGATCGATACCTCGTTTTTTGGCCAAGTTATAGCGAAAAAACTGTTCAAAAATGATGACGTCAAATTTTCAAACTCAATTTTTGGCAATTCTAGAACTCGTAGAGCAAAACAAAGACCACC